TTCAGAAGGTGATGTCTCAGCCAGATAAATCTTCTGACTATCAGTTAAGGAAGGGGTTGTTATATTATAGGAAGAGGTTGGTGTTACCCAGACAGTCTCCCCGAGTCCTCAAGCTAATGAAGGAATACCATGATTCTGCAACCGGGGGGCACTCAGGTTATTTCAGGACTATGAAAAGAATTACTAATCTATTCTTTTGGCAGGGTATGAGAAGTGACATAAAACAGTATGTTGAGGAGTGTGCCACGTGTCAGGCTAATAAATACCAAGCATTAAGGCCAGGGGGATTGCTACAACCTCTACCTATTCCCCAGAATATTTGGTCAGACATTAGCTTGGATTTTATTGGAGGTTTGCCTAAATCACAAGGAAAAGATACAATCATGGTTATTGTGGATAGGCTGACCAAATCAGCTCATTTTCTGGCATTAACACACCCTTTTAATGCCAAAGAGGTGGCAGAATTATTCACCAGGGAGGTTGTCAAGCTGCATGGTTTTCCCAAGACGATTGTGAGTAATAGGGACACAATTTTCCTGAGTAATTTCTGGTCTGAACTCTTCAGGTTGGCTGGAACACAACGGAAGTACAGCACTGCCTACCACCCTCAAACTGATGGACAAACTGAGGTGGTAAACAGATGTTTAGAGACTTATCTGAGATGTTTGACAGGAAAAAAGCCCAAACAATGGGTCCAATGGTTGGCCTGGGCTGAGTATTGGTATAATACAAATTACCATGCTTCACTAAAGATGACTCCTTACAAAGCCTTGTATGGCCAAGATCCACCTCCTATTATTAGAGGGGATGCCAGTCTGACTGCTGTGGTAGAAGTATCCAAGTTGACTGCTCAAAGAAATGGAATGTTGGCTGAACTGAAAGAGAACTTGGAGAGGGCCCAAAATCAGATGAAGCAACAGGCAGATAAGCATAGAAGGAATGTGCTATTAGAAGTGGGGGACCTGGTATACTTGAAGATTCAACCATATAAACTGAGAAGTTTAGCTAAAAGGTTGAATCAGAAGCTGAGTCCGAGATACTATGGGCCTTTTGAAGTGATCGAAAAAATAAGTGCTGTAGCATTTAAGCTGAAATTGCCAGAAGAAAGTAGGGTGCATCCGGTGTTTCACATCTCGCTATTGAAGAAGGCCATATCCCCTAAAAGTACTTTCCAACCCTTACCTAGATGTTTGAATGATGAATGGGAATTACAGGTGATTCCGGAAGCAATATTGGACTCCAGAGTCAACAAGGATGGAAAGATGGAGGTTCTGGTACATTGGAAGGACTTACCGGGTTTTGAAGACTCTTGGGAGTTACTACAGGCCTTGACAGATTCCTTCCCAGACCTTCACCTTGGGGACAAGGTGAATTCTCAGGGGGGGAGTAATGATAGGCATATGGTGCAAAGGCCTAGTCACTTCTTTAATAAAGTATATAAAAGGAGGCAAACGGGAGCGGGGGTCAATTAGTGAATTACTTTATTTCAGTTTGGTCCCTGCGTGGACTGAGTACTATAAATAGAATTGGGGTAGCACAAATAAGGCAGGCTGTTATTCAGATAATTATAGACTGGGAGATTGGACATCTCGAATGGTCCTAGGGCACTGTATCCATTTGTGATCTGTCTTATTGTCTGAATAAAAGTTCTCACCCTATTCTCATATTTTTTTTTATCATTTTCTGCATTTCTGTGAGATCTGGTGTTGCTAGGTACTATCAAAAGTTGATGGGAATGTTATTTGTGACTGGCACTGTTCATTAGGATTCCAAGAGGACAAGATCAAACGTACCTAATTCACTCATATTAAAGCAAGATTAGAAGAAATAGGCGAGTAGCAAATGCAGAGCTATGTATATGTTTAGGGGGAGGGGTTGGCCCCTCCCAACAGTTTTTTTTAAATTATTGTTTTGTAAGTTTTTTGTGCCCTCCCTAATATTAAGTTCCCTCTAGAAGTATAGTAGTGAAAAATATTATGATAGTACTACTAATTTTTCAATACCACATAAAAATTCATCGTGCTCATTTTACAATTAAAATAGTGTTGATTCAAAACCTGTGACAAACAACTTTTGAGATTATTAATGTCATGATCATAGTTGTCAATGGCGCAATATGGCGCACGCCATATGTGCCTCATGGAAAAATGGTGCACTCCCAAGGTAGTCTAAGTCGCGAGGCGCTTCAGTACTCATGTCAAGCGCAATGTTTATAAAATAAAGAGTGTTATGTATTGTATTCTGGAATTACCATCTTACCGAATATGAAATATTCAAAAGAAATTGCCCTAAATAGGAATAAAATGTATGTGAAATCCAAAATAGAATTATCATGTTTTTTATTTCCGAGATAGGAATAATTACTGTCATTTTTTGGTATTACCAGACTTTATACATGACAGTATTTGTCAAGTTTGAAAGTAGTTACTCCCATTTAAGGAATAAAAACATGACAGTCCTATTTTGGAATTTCCAAACGTTTTTACTCCTATTTCAGGAAGTTTCCCTATATTCAACATAACATTGAAATAAATGCATTAAAAACTCACTATTCAAAAAATAAAAGACCAATTCAGAAGCCATAACTTGTCTTAAAATAATAAAACCAAAATTGGCATTTAGTAGAATCAATAGAGGAATCCATATCCTATTAGCACTTTAATTCAACATTTCTAGGATCACTTGAAGTTTCACTGTACATATACTATAATACCATTGTAATTCAAAATTTATAATATAAAACATGATAGAAAAAGAAAACAAACAAAAATCAAAGAACAAACTTGTTAGGAGAAAAAACAGAAGGAAATGACAGAAAAAGGTAAAGATATAGACTTTAAAATGATAAGATAGAAATAAAGAAAGAAGATATAGAATTTACATTCAAAATTGGAGAGGGAGATTACCTTCTGCATGTTTTGTGGGCACGAGAAAGAAGAATGCAACAATAAAAACTTAAGTTTTTGTAGACTCCTTAATAGACTGATTGGGAAGGGTTTTAACAGGGTCTAAATTGTTTTGCCCTATTAGTTGGACAGGCTATATCTTATTATTAATATGAGTAATTAAAATAGGCACAAATCTTATTTTCAAAAAGCAAAATATGCTGATAACCCTTTCCCAGTCAACACAAATCGGGTGAGCACTTCTGCACCTCTGCACTTATATGTGCATGACTCAGACAGCCTAGCCTGGAAAACTAATAGGCGCTGCACAAAATCCCTCATGTCGACGGCTCTACACGTGGTGTTGCCATATTAGTGCCATCACCATGCCATTGTATTGTGGATATAGCAGTCATGTCAATTGTTTGGTAAACAATGTAAATATGTAATTCAAATAGCTGCATACTTAAAACTTTGATGTCATTGAATCTTCAAAAAAAATTACAATGGAGACACTACATTTTCCCAAACAATATCATTTACGACATCAAAAACCTGGTTGAAAAAAGTGGACGTGTGGAAAGAAACTCTTTTCAAGGAACAGAAGAGACGGTAAAAGAAGAACCAAAGAGGTAGGGAGAAGAGCCTTAACATATAGATGAGACACACACGCGCACACACCCATATATAAATGAAATTACGAAAGAGGTTAAGGGAGTAGCAGTCGGACTAAAATGACCTATGACATATCAAAGGCCCCAAAAAGTTAGTAGTTAAGAGAGAATAAAATCTAAGTAAAAACACAGCTTATCCTAGTCACGCTTAATGTTAACCTTGTTTATATTTTATGTCAATATAATGATAAACACTATGCGTGCATTATGTGACTATATCAATGCTTTAAAAAAGAAAAAGGTAAATATACTCTGAACTTGCATACACGTGGACGAACAAATGCATATCTATGTTGTTATTGCACATTTTATCTACTTTTATAGTTAAAAAGTACTACCTCCGTCCTACGTCCCGGCTTATGCTTTTCGTTGAAATGGCACAGTTATTTTCGGAATTTTATCAATTCGGGACCTGAAAGATAGATGAATTATCAATTCGGGACCTGAAAGATGAAATGTATCAATATAGGACCTGAATAATGAAAAACTATCAGTCTAGGACCTAACATTTCATAGGTTTTGATGTATTTAATTTTTTACTAACTCCATTGCTAATATTTGGTGAATTTTTCTTCACAAAAGTTTTTTAGTTTAATAAAACAAAATATTATTTATTTTTTTTAAAATGAAAAAAGTAATAAAATTTATGAAAACTTAGGTCCTAAATTGATAGTTTCCTATCATTCGGGTCCTAGATTGATAGTTTTTCATCATTCGGGTCCTATACTGAGACATTTCATCTTTCGGGTCCCGGATTGATAATTCGTCTATCTTTCAGGTCAGGTCCTGGATTGATAAAAATCCTACTTTTAATATTTGATGATTAAGTTCTCATTTAAGGGTGCTAATTTTTTCAAGCTTAGACTGAAGGAGTAAATATTAAGTATGTGCAGCTATGGAGGATAAGAAACAAGACTAAATCTGTAATAACTTCTACCAGAGACCAAGTGTTCATTTGGATTTTGGACTCATAAAAAGCACTTTTTGAAGCCAGCATTTTTTAAAAGCTTTTACTTTATGCTTCTTTGTTGAGAGAAGTCTTTCTAACCCTACAAAAGCTTAAATTCAATAAATTCCGAATCAATTAATTCACTTCTATGTAAAATAAAGAAGAAACATGCTTCTTTTGAAATGAGAAGTGTTTTTATCACTTCCCATAAGGCATCGCATACAAGAACTAAACAGTATAGAAGTTAGCAATAAATAGAATTACATAAACTGTTATTTGATCCATTTTCTAATCTCAAACCGAAGTTTAAAAATTTTCGTGGTTATTATATGACTACTAAGACTCTGGCCACCAATTATAGCAAAGCATCACCAAGGAGATACGTTTTTTTTAATTGTAATGATAAAATTATAAAATTTAATATAAAACGCAAAACAATAGCAAAGAATAAGAGAAAACCGAGGAATTTATGAAGCGCTAGGTTTTGTGTACCTCAAGTTCGGATATTGTTTGCCACGACGAAAGAGGCTCGATGGCTGCGTCTGTAAGGAGATTCTGACGAAAGGACAACTTCTTGAGATTCGATAGCCCGGAAATACGAGGGTCTAACGCCGACAAACGGTTTGCCGTCAAGTCCAGCTCGGAGAGACTCAGGGGGAGCTCAACGGCGTCGAGATCATGGAGCTGGAAGCTGGTGAGATCGAGGATGTTAGGCGAAGACGATGTTCCTCCGTCCTCCGCCGTTGGATCGGCCGGATGGCCGAGAGTGGAGGTTCCTGGGGAATCCATCGAGTATGAAGGGAGTTTCTGAAACGTGAACGGTGCGGCGACACGTGAGAATCGAAAACATATGCTTATTTATTTTCATCCTTTTGAAAAGAAAAAAAAAAGATACTCCCTCCGTCTCATCCAATTTGATGATCTCATTTCTTTTTGGCTCAAAGATTAAGGAAGTGGTTGAAAAGGTAAAAGTTGTAGTTGAGATTTGAGTAGAAAAAGGTGAAATGATGCGGACCACATATTTTTTTCCAAAAAGAGAAATGAGACTATCAATTTGGGACGGTCCAGAAATGAAATACGGAATCATCAAATTGGGACGAAGGGAGTATCGATGATCTTGTTTCTTTTGAGCACAAAGATTAAGAAAGTGTGGTAGAAAGATTAAAGAAATTTACTTTATTGTACTATTCATCCTTTTACTTTTACTATTCATTAAAAAGGAGAGGTATAAGTGATAATTCACTTTTAGTTCTTTACCAAAAAGGAAAACAAGACCATCATTTTGGGACATCCCAAAAAGAAAATATTTCAACATCATTTTGTGACGGAGGGAGTAATAGAAAAGTAATTCCAAATACACTTAATATTAGAAAAATGACCTCTATATTATGAATGAACTTTTCAATTCCAAAAATATTACTCTTTTTCCTTTTTTCCAAAAAGGTGACCTCATTTAATTAATTCTGACCTTATTTTTGTACTACTTAATTGAATGGCTGCCATCTAATATCATTTAATATATTTCCATTCACACCTCAATTGAGTCAATTCATTCCATCTTTTGCATCCGTCTTACGCATCTACCTTGACAGACCATAGGAGCTTCCACTGTCAGTAATATTGACATGCTACCGTCCATCCACCACCTCCGCTGGTACAGCCCTGCCACCGCCCATCCCACGACCTTTGCCACGCACAAGCCTCCTCCTCCTCCTCAGCATCATCTTCTACCCTTCTCGTTCAAAATTTGGATCCAATTTGAGGGCAATTTATTTTCAGATCTAGGCAGTTGGGTAAGGATGGAGTAGTTATGCAAGGGCTTGGGCTAGGGGTAGGGCGGATACGAGGCAGTTCTGGTAGGATTAGGGCGGGACTGCTGAGAAGGGGCTAAGGTGACCTGGTGGAGGAGGGGAGGATTGGTGGGGCTGGTCACTATGCCCTTGGGTTTGCCATTGGTGACCGTGATTTTGTTGTCCGTAAGCGGTGTTTAGGGAAGGGTTATTGATCAGTTTGTTACTGTAAAATCATGATGTTCACATTAAAATTCATTATAGTTGTCGCTCGGGGCGAAGGCTGTTTTGTGATGGCCGGTGGTGGATAGAGATTGTGATTGAGTTAGTGACTAAGGGGTTGAGTACTAGAAGTCACTGAATATTGAGTCACTAAGGTGAATTTCAATTATTAGGGATGGTCACTAGGAACGTTTTTACTACGGGTTGGGGGGGCAGTTCATAAATGGAGGGCGATTAGTCACTGGTCGAGGTTTCGGGGTGACGGAGTCACTAACTAGACATTCACTTTCAACCACGCACTTGCTAGTCACTGAAATATACGTAAGTGACCATGTGGTCACTAACGGCGGCAGCGGAATGAAGCCGGCAGCGGTGCTTGTGATGATGGCAGCAGCAGAGGTGAAACCGGCAGCGGTGCTTGTGATGATGGCAGCAGCAAAGGTGAAACCGGCAGCGGTGCTTGTGATGACATTGGCTGCCATTGGGGTGGTTAGAAAGATTACGTAATTCTTAATTATGAAAATGGAAAACCACATTCAATAATAAATGTCAAATTAAAAATGGACATAAATGATTTGGAAAGTCACATTTTTGGAAAATTTAAAAATAAGTCACATTTTTGTCATTTGTATTTGATTTAGTAATATTCATAAAAAGGCCTTAATATTATACTCCCTTCGTCCATAAAAATACTTCCAACTTTCCCTTTTCGTCCGTCCCAAAACGAACTTCACTTTCTCTTTTTGACAAAAAATTTGCGGTTCACAGCAATTCTTACACATTTCTCTCTCCTCTTACACATTTCTCTCTCCCCTGCACAACTCTCCATTACACAATTCCCACTTTCTTAATCCGTGTGACATTTGTACTACGAAAGTAAATTCAGGGACGGAGGGAGTAAATTACAAAAGGTAGTTTATAATTGACAAATTTTAGAGCAACCTAACAATTCACATATCCCGTAGAGATGTAGATTTCTCTATTTAATATATAAATCGATTTTATCAACCCCAACAAGGTAATAATAAAAATTGTGGTTTATCTAGCTACCAGAACAAAAAGGCTAGAATCTTGAGTTTCATCGGCTAGTGATAAGAAGTGGTCAATATCATATGCTTGACCAGCCAGTGAAAAGAGAGTCCAATCGAGCGTTATGTTTCTTTCATAGTATTTAACACCTCAGCCCCGCATGACCCGAGATAGTTACTCCTAAATACTCTTCAGGTCTCTAGTACTGTACTTACAAACCAACACAAGCCTTTACTCTGCACTTTATCCTTACTCGTGAGATCTCTGAAAAAAAATCTCATGGGGTCACTCATTCCAAAAATACTCTCTTGCAAGCACGCTTAACTATGAATTCATAGCTAATGAGCTTCCTTAAAACGAGATGATCTTTGTTAATATGAGTATTACCATTAATTCTTTTCAAATTAATCTCAAATATTACATAGTATGTCGGTGGTTCAGGAAGGGTAAATAACTAAAGCTTTGGATTAATCACTAATGCCCGAAATTAATTTCCCAAAAAAATAAAAAAAGCATGGCAACCATTACCAACCATCAACAATAAAATCTCAATTGGTTTTACCGACGAGGAATACACAACTCATTCACATCGCTAAAGGATCTTTCTCATTTTCACAAGGGAAAAATTATTGGTGTTATTGAGGAGAAAATAAGAGAGAGGAGAGGACTAGGTAGTGAGAATGTTCTTTTGGATTGAAATTTTATAGTGGTCTGAACTAGTCTAATGTGATTTGATAGATGTCTGTATATGTGTATTTTACAATTGTCGATGTGTGATCTTAGCTGTTTAAGTCTGATTTCATTTGGTCTACCTAATTTGACCAGGGACCGAAATCAGTCCAGGTAATTAAAAACATCCTTGAGACCTTTAGTATCAATATTTTATTCACAAACGAGTAAGTACATATTGTCTTTGATAGTGATCACTTAAATGCCAAAAGATTTTTATTCACAAACGAGTAATTTCATCCAACTTTTTATTCCAAATTAATGCCAAATGGATTGAACAAATGCAAAGGTATTGAAAATAAATGAATTATAGCCCTCTTTAAATATTTATAATTAGGGAGTCATTATCATCATTACCAATTACCAAAATAAATACAATTGTGATTTCAAGATGATAGCTGCATGATACACAATCCTATATATACACACACCCACACACAAAGGGATAATCATATACAAATTCCCCGCCATGTATGTCATAAATTCGTGATACGTAAATACATAATATTGTAGGGTCTGTCTCTTTCACCAATCTAGTTTGTCTAATTTTCTTCCTTGATTTATGATCTCAAACATTTCACAAGTACAACTCAAGTCATAAAATCAAAAGTCAAGATGAGATCTGTCTAGAAATGTGATCCACAAAAGTTATTGGGAATGCAAATTTGACGATTCACATGTATTTTGCTATATTTAAAAGTTTGCTACATTTGGATTTTTGGTAAGTTTACCCTTTATAAAATACTCAATTACCCTTATTTTTCTACTTTTTATCTTCTCTTTCATACTTTTACACACTCTCTCCTACTTTTTCTACACTAATTACTACCCCTACAACTTTACTTCTTAAATAATATGTCAAACCAAATGTAGTGAACATTAAAATAGGGAGTATCATTTGTTTGAAAAGTAAAAACTCAACACAGTAGAATTTGTTTCTCATGTTATTCATCTTCATGTTACATTCACTTCTACAGTTTTATACATTAATCTTTATCTAACATGTTATAATATATATAGTCATTATTATACTTCTGAAATTATCTCCTATGATGAAGAAAATTAAGCCTCCTTCAATGATAAATCCGTATTTCGACACGCATTTGATGCGTATTGGGATCAGATTTTGATGGGTATTCTAGCTTTAAGGTGTCATAAGTCTCAATTTTAGATCAATTATGTTTAACGGGCGATGGTTCGAGTTTTGGTATTTTTGAAGTCAAAATCAGAAAATTAGAGCTCGGCACCGGCGCTTGAAAAGCAATCAGGATGAGTATTCGAGAGTGATTCGAGAGTTTTGGAGGTCTCCGGGAGGTTCACGACGATGATTTGATGAAGAAAGAACATTTGTATCGATCACGAAAACATTGGGGGGCGAAAAGATGAAGAAAAGAGCCACGCACACCGTGCGTGCCAGCCAGGCACGCCATGCCTGCGTGGCAGAATGCCCTGACGCGAAGACGAAGTAGGCACGCCGTGCGTGCCTTGGAGGCACGTCGTGCCTGCGAAAGGAAAAGGCGAAAGGGCTACTGGAGGCCAGACACGGTCGTGCTTGCCAGGGAGGCACGTCGTGCCTGACCCTGCGACACACGATTACTCCGGAGGCACAATCGCCAGACACGCCGTGCCTGGGCGCCGTGCCTGCGCCGGAAATCCTATTCTGGCCCGAATTTTACCTTTTTTCTATAAATAAGGCCTCTATTTCTCCGTTTGACAGTTACAGAATTTAGAGAGAGGCCTAGAGACGAGTTTTACATTTTTTCTGCTTTATTCTTTAAGACCCTGATATTATTTGTAAATTCTTATTTTTGAATTAGTGACAATTAATTCTTTTCATCACAATTTTGTTGATTCTTCAATTATGAATTGTGACTAGTTTTAATTAGGGATTTGGGATTGATGAAGGGGTTAATCATGATGTATGGCTAAATTCATTATGGATTGATTGTCACGCCCCGGACCTACCCGGACACGTCAACAATCCGCCGTACAGTATGAATAGTCAACCGCAGTCTAACACATCCATACTATACAAGGCGTCTGGAATATCATTCACACATAGTACATCCATAAACAAA